CATGTACTCAATAAGTAGCAAGCCTAACCTCGGGCTAAAAGCAATGACGAGTTTGGAAAGGTCCAATATTTACTTTTCATAGCCAACAATAGCAATAACATGAAAATAGCTCAAAACAATAGGCTCGGGTTAACACAACAGAAGGAAAAATAGACATGCTTTTCAGATATAACGGTCAAGGCATCAATTTCCACAGAATCCACTTAGGTAGGTGTTTAACAAGATAAAACTATAATATCAAGAGCTAAACATCAAGTAGAGTCATCAATCACCAATTAGCATGAGGGAGAATACAACTATATGCATGCATGTCAGTTGTACATGCCAAATCAATAAAGAATCACTATTTAAATATTAAGTGTATATAATCCCAACACATTCATAGTGCCTGGAACAATACCCCAGGTTCATACTCTAAGCACCCTCATGGTGCCTGAATCAAAGTCAATGGACCCTCACACACACACACACACACATACACTCTCAACACTGCACGGGTATATATATATATATATATATATATATGTGTGTGTGTGTGTGTGTGTGTGTGTGTGTGTGTGTGTGTGTGACCCTATGCCTGCGCTGATGGTTAATACCCTACTCCGGAGGAGCGCGTCCCTGCCCAAGCATTGATTGGATCAAAGTCAACGAACAATATCATCTAGCCCAATATAGGGCCTGGTGCACGCGTCACCTCACTATTCATACCACTTAGCCTATTATGGGGCTTGACGTACGCATCACCTCAAAAATCAATATTAAATCGGCTCTATGGACCAAGATCAGTCATCAATCATCCCAAGTCATGATATGCCAACATCTCACAGAAACATAATTTAATATACCATATAGAATAAGCCAACGTACTACAATTTAGCTCAAACACGTGTCATGCATTAGGACACTAACATATAAAAAAGTGCACAGTGACAAAGTATCATGGCTGAATAGTATGGCCACGGCTGAATAGTATGGCCACGGCTAAGGCAAATAGCTCAACATAGTAAAAATAATCATATCATGTCTCAAACACATAAGCAAATAGCCTAAACATGATACTTATCATGAATAATAACTCACATAGTCATGGAAATGGAGAAAACATGATAGCAAAACAACACATATAATTGCCTAACATCTACCCGGATCATGAATAACCACAGAAAATGCATATACGTTCGTCACTTCGCATATACGTCACCTCCAACATATAACAAATATCATAGACAACAAAACAATTACCCTCAAACCAAGCTTAGGTTAGATACTTTGCTCATCCAGGCTACTATTCAACCTCGAATCACGTCAAAATCTCGATCTAGACCTCCAATTACGCAAATTCAAGCCAAACATCATCCAAAGAAGTCAACAATCCATAGGAAGTGATCCCAATCCACAAAGCTTTGATCTTTGAAGAGATTTCCAAAAGTCAATCCGGGCATGAGAGTCCAAAATACGAAACCAATACCAAAATCTGATGATCCATAACATTCTGAGTCAAAATATACAATTAGTTCCCAAAATCGATTTCAAATGTGTACTCAAATCCCCAAAATACACTCTCTTAAAGTGTAAGCAAAAAACCCAAAATTTTCTTCCAAATTTCATATTCTTAGTGTATAAATCCACGAGAAAATAATGTGTGTGTGTGTGTGTGTGTGTGTATATATATCCGCAAAAATCGCCCAAATATGTAATTTTGCCCCGTTCTCCTATTTATTTCCTCCTCTATATTATATTATAGTTATCTGACTTGCTTGGGTGGTTGTTTTCATTTCGGGTGAGTTTCAACGTGAATTGGGACACTTAGTCCCAAAGTTGGAAGCTTAAGTTGAAAGAGCTAACCAGAGTTTAACTTTTATGTAGACGACTCCGGAATGGAGTCTTGATGATTCTGATAGCTCCATATGGTAATTTTGGACTTAGGAGTGCGTTCGGATATGGATTTGGAGGTCCGTAGGTTGTTTTGGCTTGAATTGGCGAAAGTTAGAAAGTTGAAGGTTTGGAAGGTTGAGAAGTTTGACCAAGAGTTGACTTTATTGATATCGGGTCTGGATTTTTATTCCATGAGTTGGAATAGGTTCGTTGTGATATTTATGACTTTTGCGCAAAATTCGGAGCCATTCATAGTTGGTTTGGTATGATGCTAGTTTTGGAAGTTGAATGTTCATGGATTCAATAGGTTTGAATTGGGTTGCAATTCGTAGATTTGATGTTGTTGGATGTGATTTTAGGCCTCTAGTAGGTCCGCTACGTGATTTGGGAATGATAGTAAGACGGAGTCCCGGGGTCCCAAATCTGATTCTGATTGAATCCGGAATCATTTTGGACTTAAAAGAATTTCTGTCCAGTTGAGGTTCCAGTGTAATTGCACCTACGCACTTTGGGCCGCAGGTGCGGCACCGTAGAAGCGCCCTGTGAGACGCAGAAGCGAGTTTGCAGCTGGGTGAGCTATGTCCGCAGATGCGTTTGTTTTCGCAGAAGCAGACGTGCAGAAGAGGCTTGGGTCCGTAGAAGCGCAAATGGAGATGCGCACAACTGTCACGCCCCAACCTCGGGAGGCGCGACCGGCGCTCAATCGAGTGACCCCAACTGAGCAAGCCTTACCAAACACTACCTACCCAACTCCATACAAATAAGGGGACCATGCTTTCATTTATTCAACAAAGGAAGATAGTATATTCGACATTTTTAGTTCATTTTAGATCACAACATTAAACTGTAGATAAGTTAGTTTCCAAAGTTCCCATAGAGTTACAATTCATAAGCAACATAAGTTTACAATTACAACATAGCTCGCACACCTAACCGATACCCACATCTGACCCACATATATGTCTAGGGAGCCTCTAAGGATACAAAAGATAAATGTGACAACGCCGGCAACAAGGCCCCGGCTATACCTCAAAAGTGAAAGTCCAAAAAGGCAAGACGTGTGCAATATAGCCCCTTGAAGGAGGAAGGGGCTCACCAAGAATTTGAGGAGAAGAATGCTCCGCTACACACGATCGGCACTATCCGCTATGGAGCCACCTACATTCATTAAAAAAAATGTAGCGCCCCCGGCAAAAAAGGATGTTAGTACCATGGAATAGTACTAGTATGTATAACTAAACACCATTTTACTAGAAAGAACTACCAAGCAATGACAAGTAAATCACATAGGTGAATCAAATATGCAAATCATAGAATCATTTACATAATTCCCATAACTTAGTTTGGGGCATTTCTTTCATACGTTCATCACTGTTCTCGACACCACCGCTACCTTAAGCGGAGTCCGATCACGACCCGACCGGCTAGGTTGCCTCATTGGAGGCATATATCTCAATCACTATTTCATTTCCCTTATTCGGAATTCAATATCAGCACATCACCACCATGTGTGCAGCANTAGTACCATGGAATAGTACTAGTATGTATAACTAAACACCATTTTACTAGAAAGAACTACCAAGCAATGACAAGTAAATCACATAGGTGAATCAAATATGCAAATCATAGAATCATTTACATAATTGATTCACCTATGTGATTTACTNGTCACTAATAGCACAATTTTTAGTGGAATAAAAATAGTTGTAGCTACGAAGGTTTTGCCTTTTTCGGACAAAAATAGGTCACTAAATTATATATTTAGAGACAAAAATTCCTTTTGTACTTAAAACTGTCTCCTTTAGTGACGTAATCATATTCTTCTAACTACAAATTATATTTAGCTTTAGAGACAATTGGCGTCGTCACTAATTAAAATTATAGTTAGTGACGAATTAGATTAGTCGGTATTAAAGGGCTTTTTATTGATGACTTGATACCTTTAACTACAAATTTTTTTACATTTTTCAAGACAAATACGCTCGTCACAAATACTGTGCATTTGGGAAAGAAAAAGAATTTCGTCCCTAATATAACTTGATTTAGCTACGAATCACATAATAATTTTTGTATACTTTCAGTGACGATGTTTTCGGGACGACAGATTGATGAATTATTTTTTATCATAAAAGATTATCTGTGACGAAATATGACTTTTAAGTGACAAAATAATTTGTCATTGATAATCAAAGTTGTTGTAGCGAATGATTTATTAAAAAAAAAATAAGGTTTCTCTCTTTATACAACAACAACAACAACAACAACAGACCCAATATAATTCTACAAATGGGGTCTGGGAACGATAGTCTGTACGCAGACATTACCCTTACCTTGTGTAGNAGATTCTATGGAGTAATTTGATGGGGAGAACTTTCTCTCACTTAGACCCCTCTCCCTCACTCTAGAAATGTCCAGAAAATGCTCAAAACGAGCTATAATACCGAATATAACGATAGGGGCGTCGGGTTAAAAAATTAGAAAATTGGAGCCCCGAGTCGGATCTGCGATAGCATTTGCGATCGCAAAGTGGAAATGCGGGCCGCAGATTGGACCGCAAAAAGGCTCCCAAAATCTGAACATTCTGCTTGGGTATGTGACGGAAATGCGGTCCGCATACCCGTTCTGCGGTCGCATTATGCACCGCAGAATTGACCTTCAAAAAATCCCAATGGAATTATGCGACGACTATGCGGTCCGCATATTGGTTATGCGATCGCATAATGGACCGCATTTACAACCTCAAATTAGCTAACACACTGACTCACTCTGTGGCAGAAATGCGGTCCGCATACCTGGTATGCGACCGCATTCTAGACCGCATATTTGCACTTTTCTGAAAAACTTTGATTCTTGGTTTTTAAATTCATAGATCAGCTCAAAGGGTCCGAACCGCGGCTCGCAATTTTTTGCGAGTTTCTATCACCTGACCCTAACTAGGCACTACGAGGTTCAGGTTTTGAGTAGAAAAATTCACGGGGCCTTACAACAACTATCCGCAGAAGCGAAAATGCACACCCCTAGTTAGAAGTGTAATTTTTTTTTTATTAAGATAGTATATGAAGTTATTAATAAGGCTTCAGATATAATATTTTTAAAATATTGGGTATTTTATTGATTTAAAGTGGGTTTTTTTTTTCAACAAAGTGGGTCTACTCGTAAATTTCATATACACAACCAATAAAATAAAAATAATGAATTTCTACTATTACTACTTACTAGTACATGTTATTTGGGTGTCTTTTCTTAATTTCCACCTGTCAAATTAATATTATTGAGAGAAAGAGGCCGCTGTCTGTTTGGCGCTGCTAAGAAGAGCGGGAGAGAGGACCGGCGATGGAGGACGACGTGGAGATGGCTGCGTCGGAAAATGGCGCCGTGGTGGTTCGTCTCTATTCGGGCTTTTGTTCCTTCGGATTTGTTCAATTCTTCAGTTCATCTGTTGTTTTTCTTGTTTCCTGAAACCCTAATTCATGATATTCGCACTTATATGAATAATAATAAAAATAATAGTAATAATGTGGGTAAGCAGGAATTGGATGAGATGAAGAAGAGATTGAAAGAAATGGAAGATGAAGCGGCTGCTCTCCGTGAAATGCAGGCCAAAGTCGAGAAAGAAATGGGTTCTGTTCAAGGTCTCTCTCTCTCTCTCTCTCTCTCTCTCTGTGAATTTGATTTATTACTGAAATTCTCGATACATATATTGATTATGCGTGTGATTTTTCTAGTGGACAATTATGGGCCTGTAGAATGGTTTTTTAATTATATTTTTTTTTTTGTGGAAGAGGTAGCTAAACTGATCTTATTACATGGTCCTTATTACTTTATAGATCCTGTTGGACGGTGGGTGTGTGATATACATGTAAATACTTGGGTGGAGGATGTCCAAGCAAGGTCTCCCTCTGTCTTTGTATTATTATGGAAAAAATTTGTTTCTTCATTGATAAAATAGATGCTTTATGCTAGTATTTTCATTTTTCAAGTAGACAATTCTTTTATGTGTATAAGATGATTTTGGTTTATATGTACTTGTGGAAGAGGTAGCTAGATTGATCTTATTATGTACCAGTTGTTATGAACTTAAGTCCTGTTGGGAATTAAAACAGGGTGGGTAAAATATAATTTGAAGCTTTTTTAGGTAATATGATGAGTTAGCTGCCTATAGCGCCTGAAATTTCTGTTTTGCAAATAAATAATGAACCGGAAAGGATAGTCTTTAGCTAGCCAGACCAGCACGTTAGATAAATGCCTTCTAAAATATTAGTTCATTATAGCAAAGGGTGGAGTAGCAATAAAATCTATGTTGATGCTATCTTGTCTGTTCACTTGAAGTTGGTATGTCCTATTGGGGGCATAAGTGGCAAACTAGCTTTTTGTCTGTTAAAACTAACAAAACTACAACCTTAGGTTAGATATGCTGATATAGGTGGTGTTCAATTATCTTGCTTTTTGTTCTGTTGCATAAGGAAGGTTCTACTAATATTATCCTTGGTGTTATTTTTGTCAATAATCAGTACTAATCAATAATTGTTTGCACCTCGTTATCTTTTAAGATGTTTAATTATGATGACAATGTGGGTGCAAGTAATATCTTGTTTCTTTCTAAAACTGCAATGATGTAACTTGTGCCTCTCTTTCAAAACTATCTTTGACCCTTTTAACTTTGAATTAAACAATTTTAAAATGGCACTCTCTTCCTTTACATATTGAACTTTGAACCTAAATTTCAAAAGATAGCTTCATCTCACTTTGTTTGGATGGTCTCGAGGATGTGCAATGGTTAGTTTATGAATGCTGTTTACATTTATAGTTGGCAGATGCTTATCTCTAACAGTGAAGAAAGCATAAGTAGTCACGATCTTTGTTTCTCCTTTTTGTTGCATTTTTATTTATATTTTCACCTTAATTGAAGGCAGACCCTGCTACTGCTGCAAATCAGGCAAACAGGGAAGAAGTGGATTCTCGGTCTGTTTTTGTTGGAAATGTGAGACTTCTGCTTACTAAAATATGTGATTCTTTAGTTAAATATCATCTTATATTAGCCTCTTTGCGTTGCAACTGTTTATTATTTACATCTGATTTTTTGTGTGTTTCATATCAACTGATGTTGCATCTTGAATTCTTCTTGGACATATGTGTAAATTAGTATTTTTGAGTTTAATTGGAAAACATCATTCCGTTGATTCCTGAAGCACAAAATTCAAATGCGATTATACTTTGGATTTTATCCTCCTGCTTTAATTTTTTTATTTAAGATCTATACTTTCTTTTGCTTTCTTTGTTCCTTAGAATGGATGTCTGCTATGGTTTTCATTTAAATATAGTTTTTCTGGCCCAAATTAAGTGGTGTATGGAATCATAGGAGACCAGTTATGCAGAAGTGGGACTACTACTCTTACTTTCATGATATCCGTCATAGTCGGAAAACTGTCTTTTTAATCAATCTTCCGTATTGCCAATGTATTTCGCTTGCATAGAGCTATTTGAGGAATCTGAAGGGGATATTGGATGTAAAAAATTATTATCAAAAGTAGAATCATAATCAAGGAACATGTGCATCTGGCTCTTGATGGCTATAGAGAAGTGTGAATATAGCTACAACTTCTTGACTATTTAGCATTGAAATGAATCACAAAGATTGACTCAGGATGTATTTGATATGCTACAAACTATAGATAAGAAAGTAGAATCAATACCAATGATCGCAAGACCAGAATTCTAGGGTGAAAAAGGAGCAGAAATCTAGGGAGAAATTAACTCATAGTTGTAGAGACTGAAAGGAATTAAGACGACAGTAAGGAAAGGAAGATGTTAATAGAAGCATGAGAAAAGGAGTGTAATGACCATGTTTCTACTCAAACTTCTTTTTTCATGTTTCTAATTCATGAACACTTGTTTCTATTAGGTATATAAGTCTTACCTTGATAAAATACCTTTTAACAATCAATTTCTTAACAAAAATATAACCAATTTGGAGATCAGGAATTGTATGAACTGACATGTCAAGGTTGAAAGTGAAAAGTTGGTGGATGTGTGGGAAACTAGTGTTGCTATAGATTTAGTTTGGTTTAGTTTGTAGGTGTTGCAGTCATCAATTTTGTTTGAATAAACTTTGTTTCTACTAAAAGAAAGGATGGCAAGAAAAAGATAGAAATTGGAAAAATAAACGTAATTAGCTGTCCTTGAACTATGTATGAAAGAACTGGAGGTGATAGTGGTCTTGACGTGCGCTAGATCTAGCTTGAGAGGCATTTGATATTTCTTGAGAGCTTGACTTACTAGTGTCTTGGTTCCTTTAAAATCATAATACGGATATGATTTAACTATTCTGGGAAGTTCAACAAGTTAGAATTAGCTTGTGGAGATGATACTTTTCCATGTTGTAATACTTTTAAAGGTGGCTTTGTTGTTTTTCTTTCTCTAGCTCTATTTTTGATTCTGTTCAGTTCCTGATTTAGTAATTTTGAAGCTACTTGTGGGTTCTGTTTCCATTATTTTTCATTTCCAATGGATTGAATCAAATTGGTTTAATGGGAGCGTAAAAGAAACCTATATAGTGGTAAAGAATCAACTGTAGTTTTGAAGAAAGATTGTATCTCACTTATTACCTTGAGACATCAGATTACGCTCCTATTTATATTACATATATTATAATTTGATTTTGAAGGACTGTAATCATTAATAATCAATAAAGTTCTTGGCTGTCAATCAATTTTTTTGGGGATAAATCTAGTTGGCTTTCTGTGAATTAGTACTCCTATTTATATTACATACATTATAATTTGATTTTGAAGGACTGTAATCATTAATAATCAATAAAGTTCTTGGCTGTCAATCAATTTTTTGGGGATAAATCTAGTTGGCTTTCTGTGAATTAGTACTCCTATTTGTGATACCCAATTAGAATATAGAAATGGTTGAAAAACCTTTGTGATTATTTTGACTGATATTCAGCAGTTTAAGTTAATGCCTGGTCTGGAATGCACATGTAATTTTGATGAATCTGCTCTTGGTAATAATAATGACGGTTGGGGAAGGAATCTCCAACCATAGTTGCTCTTTCTGTAGTTATTGCAATTTGCAGTTAAAGATTTCATTTTGGTGAGGTCAAATAATATGATGATTAACCACTATTCTGTTTGTTTTGTTTTCTTTGAGTGAGTGATGGTGAGGTTGCAACTTTTTGTTGGTTTAATTTACTAAGCATGTAAACCAGGTGGTTACTTTCATTTGGACTTTTCGACAGCCATTTTGACCTCTGGTCCAGTCTGAGAGTATCTCTTGTGTGTTCTCCTGCGGCAATGAGTTTCAGAGGCTAAACTTGTTTTTATAGGTGGATTATTCATGCACTCCGGAGGAAGTGCAGCAGCATTTTCAGGCATGTGGGACTGTAAATAGAGTTACAATCCGAACTAACAAGTTTGGGCAACCTAAAGGGTATGCTTACATTGAGTTTCTTGAAATGGAAGCTGTCCAAGAAGCTATTCTTCTGAATGAATCTGAACTTCATGGCCGCCAACTTAAGGTCAGCCAGTTAGTCCCCTAAACCCACTTTGTTTATCCGGTTGATACATTTAAATATAAGTTCATTTCATTTCTGGCTTCCTAGCCTTTCTCAATTGTGATTGCAAATGTTGTGTAGGTATCAGCAAAGAGGACTAACTTACCTGGTATGAAGCCGTATCGTGCTAGGCGGCCCAATCCCTACATGGGATTTCGAGGCCGGACACCATTTATGGCTGCTCCGTATTTTTTCCCTCCTTATGGATACGGGTAACAGTAATCGTCTTATGCTTTTACAATAACTTGTGTTTGCTTCACTCACTCCCTATATTTATTCAATTTGTGACATTATTTTATTATTTATGCTGCAGAAAGGTTCCAAGGGCTAGGGCGCCAATGCGATACAGCCCCTACTTCTGAGACAGCATTTCCTCTGAGACATACATATACATATCTCTGGATGGTGGGATATTTCATTAAAAGCAGTAGCTTCTTATCCCCTGTATGGCAAATTGCCTTTCAGGATCTGAAATCGATTTTCAAGTGGGCTTTGTGGCAAATATTGTGATCATGAATCCTGTTGGTGTTGCGTCCTTAGAATTCAAGAAAAATATGCATGTTTCAAGTCTCCTATATAGTTTGCATTCTACACGGAGAGAGAGAGAGAGAGAGAGAGAGAGAGAGAGAGAGAGAGAGAGAGAGAGAGAGAGAGAAATCCTTGTACATATCTTGTCTCTGGAAGTTTTGGACCATTATTGTGTGGTTTTTTGGAGCTCATTTTCTGGTCTAAAGGTTTTTGGATTGCAACCAATCTGGCGAAGGGAGGCCTATTTGATGAAGGATAATACACTTGGTGTAACAGAGGTTGAATGTGTTTGATATTATGATGGCAAATAATAAAAGGAAGAATTACGGTCCTTGTCGCTTGGCCTAATAGCCCAACCGAAAATAGTCCAAGTTTGAAGTTCTTACCCGGTCTAACCCATGTTGTACATAACTTGAAAGAAATTTTTCAACTTTTAGCCCATTATTAAAGAAATATATTTAGGGTTTTTATTATTTTCTTCTTTCTTCATTCGCACCGCACTAAATTCTCTCCCTACCGCCTCTCGCTTCTTTCTGTCTAACCCACACATATCCCCTCATCCTCTCTTAACCTAGCTCCTGCTATTCTCCCTCCCTCTACGCGGTTCTGTCATCAATGGCTCGAAGAAGGCTCAGGCTCCTCCTCCATCGTCCAAGCCCGTCAAGTCTGATGGTGGCAAGCGGAAGAAAATTGAAGATTTTGAATGAAAAATGAAATACACACAGATCTGATAATAAATAGCTCTCAAACTTGCTTTGCACCAAAAAATAATCACTAATTTTGGATGATTGTGAAGTTTGAAATTCAGATCATTATTGTTGTGACCTTGAAGTCTCAGATCCGAAACTGGGTGCATCTTGTGTGGGTGTTGAATTCGGAATCGTTGGCGCAAAGTTGTTAACCTATTGACGAGTTGAATCATCCAATACCTTCTGCTACAACTCGAAGTTTGGATAAAAAATTATACTATGTAGCAGTTTGTATCAACATTGTATAATAGTGTGTAATTGTGTATATGGATATGCAAACACCTCTTATACACTATTATACATATTTATACAAGTTGATACATTATTTACAGTAAGTGTAGTGTTGGACATAATGTGTTTTCTAGTGGAAATATTGTATAAGTGGTATTTATATCCACTTATACAGTATTGTATAATATGTATAATTGTGTATAAATGTGTTTATTTGTGTATAATGTGGTATAATTATATATTTTTTCAGTTTATAAGGATGTATACACATTGTCACTGTATAAAAGGCCTCTATGAAAGTTTGACACTTTCTTCTCTTCTTCTTTATTGTGTATGTGCTGTATGAAAAAAGATGGCCTCTATGAAAGTTTGACACTTTCTTCTCTTCTTCTTTTTTGTGTATATGCTATAAACACGTTGGAGGGATTTACAATTTATTTACCAAGTTTTAATTTTTTTGAAATATGTAAAGAGGGAAATAAAAGAAAATAAATAAGAAAGAAAAAGGAGAAAAGGAAAAGATAAAAATGTGGAATCTGATTTAGGTGTGAAACGAATGGTAAAAGAAAAAAGGACTCACAATGAGTAGACGGTGGGCAGAGTTTGACTTGTTTTCAAAAATGTTTGGGGGCTATCAGATGAAAACTGTATTCCTGGGTTAGGCGGGTGAAAAGTGTTTCCTCTAATTGTATTTTTTTGTAAATTTCCCATAATAAAATTTTAAAAAGTCATTGAGTAAGCGACATCACAATTGTCTAAACTGAAAATAAGAAGAAATTATCGACCAACTGGATTCCTAATTATATTAGGCTAAGTTTAGAAAACACTAAATAATTCCAAGTTCATACTTGTAATTGCATCATTTTCTTAAAAATCTCATATTTAAGGTTATTTAATGCATATAAACACATCAGGACATCTTAATTTTACCTTTAATGCATAACTTATTCGGAATCAGTTGATATAAAAGCTCACCCTTTTAACTATGAGGAGACGTGTGGAACTCTCGTCACTTTTATTTGTAACAAGGGATTTTTGGTACTTCCATAAATTTTAGCTTACGTAAGCAATCTTCCTTTACTTTTTTAAACGTTGTGTGGGATCAACCATTGTTACATAACATCCAGGAATATAAAGAAACGCCATCACTTTGTTTGTCGTTAAAGGCGTGAAGAACTGAATGTTTATGTAATATGGTTCTTGAGGGCATTATAATATCTGGGGTGGTGGCGCAGTTGGCTAGCGCGTAGGTCTCATAGCTTCTGAGTAATCCTGAGGTCGAGAGTTCGAGCCTCTCTCACCCCATTAATGTTTTTGGACGGATTAACAACGTCAAGATCAGATCTTTCTTGTGTCCTATTGATATTGCTTCCCGTTGGTTCAAAGAAGGAAAGAAAACACAATAGAAGTGATGACAATTTTATTTTTCCATTTTGCTAATAGCTTATATATCAGGTATAAAAGAGGGAGGAAAAATCAAGAGCATGAAAAGGGAAGTTATCAAAAAAGAATATCCATTTACATTTCAATTGCAGGAAATATGTGTGAACTAGAAGATGAGAAGAGAAAAATAGATGCTCAAAATCTAGTATAAATATTGGATCACCGTCCTTTCTTCCCAGCATTTTGCTCAGAGTAGGTATAGAACGTAACACAAAATTAACAAAGACGTACGAACCTCGTGCCTCCTACTGCTTAGCCTTGTTTAAATTGGCCCCTTCATCAATCAGTTCTCTCTTTTTACTACTCAACATTTCAGAATCTCCACTTGCATTTTAACCAATTGATCACCTCTCATGTTACTCAGAAAAGGCACACCTTTTTTATCCCCGCCGTGTCTTGTGTTGTCTATGGCAGACTACCATATGGAATTTTTAGATCAACCATTTTCACGAGTCCACTCAACTTTTCGAAATTATCTTGTAAAGTCATTGTGTACGGTAAATCGGAGGGCCCAATTTTCGGCCATTACAACGCCTCGTGAAGCAAGGTTTCCACAGGCTCGAGACCACGATCGAATTTTATCCCGAGGGGACATCGGTGTTCAACCTCGAGGCAGCGCAAATTGATGGTTACGGTGGAACAGTGGAAAGTTCCCTAGGCGCACGACTAGGGCTGACAAAACCTAGAGGTCTAGCTCTGACCCGTATCAATGCATTGAGTAGCTATACCTGCCCCATATCTTTGTAATTAATACATTTGTACTACGTTGAGATTTCCCCTCCTATATAAAAGGGATCCCTGTCATTTTGTATACATCTGATGCTCAATACTAAATACACAAGAACATTCTAATCTGCTCTCTAATATATTCTCTTGAGTTCATTGCTTCATTTATTGCTTACATTCATTGTGTTCTATTTATTGTTCTTCATTTATTGCTTATTATTGGCCATAAAGAGCCGTCATTGACCTTATTACAACTGTTAGTCGCCCATCGATTACCCCCGATAGCTCCCAGCCGAGCAACCAACTCGACCTCGAGGCCCCGATTGACAGTGATTCGGTTTGGTTAATATCTCGTTTTTAAGCTCTTATCTCGCTTCTAAGTCTTTCACATAGCATCAAATGCTTAACAACTAGCATAAAAATAGATCACGTATTTTTAGAACCTCACAAAATCAAATTTAATTGTTATTACCATTTTCACGGTAAACAGTTTGGCGCCCACCGTGGGGCTTAAAATAATAGTGATTATTTTCTTGCTGGTTTAACCACGTAACGCAAGTTATCTTTTACACCTTTTCTTGTCCAAGATCTTTTGATTTCAGGTCAAAATGTCTAACTCAGTAAACGCTCGTGAAAACATCAACCTTGAAGATTATGGAGAAAATGGTGTTGACATCCCAGGTGCTGGTGTACCACCACGAAACCCTGAAAATGCACCGGAACCGATTCCCGTGGACGCAGTTTCACGCGATACTCAACACGTCAAAATAAGCTCCCACACCAACAGGAGCATACACCAAGAAGACCAACAAGAGCCCAGAAAATCCCAGCTAGGGAAGAGCGGGAGGTTAGCCTTCACGCTATTTTTGAAATGTTGCAGGCACAACAGCTGGCTATTGCTCAGCTGCAAAGTCACCAGAAAACTCCTAGCACGGTAGCACCGGGGACGGCTCCCCCAGCCGAGCAGGTACCAGAGAGGTCAAGAAACAACGGGTCGGCAGCCGACCCCGCCATCGTAAAGATGCTCGAGGACCTCACGAGGAGGATCGATATCGGGCGAGAAGAAAATAGAGGCCAACGACAAGAAGGTCGAGACCTACAACTCCAGGGTCGACCAAATTTCGGGCGCACCCCCGATCTTAAAAGGTGTGGATTCAAAAAAGTTCGTACAGAAGCCGTTCCCACAGGAGGCGTCCCCGAAACCCATTCCAAAGAAGTTCAGAATGCCCGACCTTCCGAAGTATAACGGAACCTCGGACCCCAACAAGCATGTTACCGCTTACACCTGTGCGGTGAAAGGCAACGACCTGAGGGACGACGAGATCGAGTCCGTCATGCTGAAGAAGTTCGGGGAAACGCTTTCTAAAGGGGCAATGATGTGGTATCACAACCTGGACCCAAACTCGATAGATTCATTTGCCATGCTAGCGGATTCTTTCATTAAGGCACATGCTGGTACCATCAAAGTAGCAATAAGGAAATCCGACGTCTTCAAGATTAAGCAGAGAGAGAATGAGATGCTGCGAGAGTTCGTATCTCGCTTTCAATTGGGACGAATGGAACTACCACCAGTCTCCGACGTCTGGGCGGTATAGGCCTTCACTCAAGGCCTGAATGAACAGAGCTCGGTGGCTTCGAAGCAGCTGAAATAGAATCTGGTTGAATATCCCGCCGTGACCTGGTCGGACGTTCATAACTGATACCAGTCGAAAATTAGGGTCGAGGACGACCAACTAGGAGCCCACCTCGGGCTCGGTATACCCAAGCAGGCTTCTGGTGAAGGAGCCAAAGCCAAACAAAGAAAGGTACCAGCCATACACCGAAGACAGGAGAAACGCCCCGAGGCGCAACATACCCTGCAATGATCGAAGAATGGATCGAGGACAGAATCATCGGGGACTCGTCAACATAGCCGGATTCGATAGGCACACAGGGCCAACGGAGGCACCTCGCCTGTCGGAATACAACTTCAACGTTGATGTATCAGACATCGTGTTCGCCATCAGTAAAATCAGAGACGCTAGGCGGCCCAGGCCTGTACAATCAGATCATTCACAAGGAAATCATAACTTAGTGTGCGAATTTCACAACACGCACGGCCACACCAGCTCCGGGAAGAAGTAGCCCGACTACTAAGCAAAGGTCACCTCCGAGAATTCCTCAGTGACCCGGCCAAAAACCAGTTCCGGGAAAGAGAGGCGACAAAGAAGAGCGAAACAAATGGGCCACAACATGTCATCCACATGATCTTGGGAGGCATCGACGAACCACAGGAGCCCATGATCAGAAGAACAAAAATATCAGTCACCAGAGAAAAGCGAACT